GCATTAATTACATTCACAGTGTTGTATAACCATCACCACTATCTACTTCCAAAACCAGAAACTCTATACCCATTAAGCAATAAGTTCCCATTCTCCCTCACCCCAGCCCCTGGTAACCTCTAATTTACTTACTGTCTCTATGAACTTACCTATTCTAGATATTTCATATAAGTGTAATCATACAATATGTGTCCTCTTATGACTGGCTTATCTCACTTAGCATCATGTTTTCAAGGTTCATTCATGTTGTAACACATATCAGAACTTCATTCTTTCCAATGGATGAATAATATTTCATGGTTTGGACCTATCACATTTTATTTATCCCTTCGTCTCTGATGGACACATGGGTGGTTCTACCTTTTAGCTATTGTGAATAATGTTGCAATGAACGTTTGTGAACAATTATCTGTTTGAGTCCCTGTCTTCAGTTCTTTTGTGTATGTACCTAGGAGTGGAATTACTGGATCATATGGTAGTTCTATGTTTAACTTTATGAGGAATACCCAAACTGTTTTCCACAACAGCTGCACCATTTTACATTCCCACCAGCAATGTACAGGGTTCGAATTTCCCAACATTCTTGCCAACACTTCTTGTCTGTCTTTTTTATTACAGCCATCCTTGTAGGTGTGAAGTGATATCTCTTTGTGGTTTTGATTTTCATTTCCCTATTGACTAATGATATTGAGCATCTTTCCATGTGTTTATTGGCCATTTATATATCTTTGGAAAAATGTATATTCAAGTCCTTTGCCCATTTTAAAAGTGGGTTGTCTTTTTGTTGTTGAGTTGTAGTAGTTCTTTATATATTCTGGATATTAAACCCTTATCAGATATATTATTTGCAGATATTTTCTCCCATTCTGTAAGTGGTCTTTTCACATTCTTAATAATGATCTTTGATGCACAGAAGTTTTTTTTTATTATTATGAAGTCCAATTAATCTATTTTTTCTTTTGTGCCTTATGCTTTTGTTATTGTATCTAAGAATCCATTGCCAAATCCAAGGTCATGATGATATGCCCATGTTTTCTTCTAAGATTTTTATACTTTAAGTCTTATGCTTAGGTCATTGGTCCTTTGTGAGTTAATTTTTTATATGGTGTGAGGTAGGGGTTCTACTTTATTATTTTTATATAGATATCCAGTTGTTCAACATCATTTGTTAAGGAGACTATTCTTTCCCTTATTGAATGGACTTGGCACCATTATCAAAAGTCACTTAGCCAATAGATGTATTATGAGTTTATTTCTGGGCTCTCAATTCTATTCCATTGGTCCATATGATCCATTGTGTCAGTACCACACCATTTTGATTACTGTAGCTTTGCAGTAAGTTTTGAAATACAAAAATATGAGTCTAACTTTTTTTTTCAAAATTGTTTTGACTATTCCAGCCCCCTTGCAATTCTATATCAATTTGAGTATTGGTAAAAAAGAAAAAAAAAGGCTATTGGAATTTTATATAGAGTCTGTTAACTCTGTAGATTGCTTTGGGTAATATTAGCCATGATTAGGGGCTGCTACAGCCAACCAGATACCCACCTGGCTGATCCCAAAATTTACAAAGAAAAGATGTAGTGTCTCTAGGGCCAGTGAGTCAGCTGGTCAGCACTACCCATCATGTTCAGCTACCCACCACCACCACCAACAGTTGCCCTCAGCCCAGCCTTTGTCCCTCTGGGCCTCTCCTCTTCCTTCTTTGCCTGAAGGAAAGGGAACACTGGCTGCATATGGCAGGGTGCCGGGCTCCCCACAGCCCTCGTCCAGGCCCTGACACGGCACACCCCTTCCATCCCCCAGGTGACAGTCAAGAGTGGCCTGGATGAGCTGGTGAACGACCTGCTCCAGGAGGCCCACAGTGACCTGGAGAGAGTCCGTGCCATCTGGATCTGGATCTGCCACCATATAGGTAGGACCACCTGTGGTGTTAGTGGCTCTAGGACCCTTTGGTGCCACTCCTGCAGGCCCTGTTCCCAGAGCAGTATCTCTGGGACTCACTCAATCACCAGTGAGTGTGGAATGAGATGAAAGACAGAGGACAGGGGCTCCCATATGACTTGATTGAATAACCTACGACTAACCAAGCAGAATAAAAGTCACCATGAAGGGTCATTGGGTAGAGGATCCCACGTGGCCCTCTGCCCACAGCCAGTGTCCAGAGCTGAGGCCCTTCCTTCAGTCCTGGCTTCCTGGTAAAACTGCTCCAGAGAGATGAGAACCCAGGGCAGGTCATTTTCAAAAAGGATGATCATCGGTTGGGGAGGAGTCATAGCTGTTTGAAAAGTTATTGCAACCAGAGTTTGCTTAAGTCCCAGTGCCGGGAAGGGTGGGCTCTCCTCTCCCTGCTCCTGTTCCCATACTAGCAACTTCAGCCACTGGTCTCAGCGCAGTGTCTAGATTCTCAGAGCCGCCTACAGCCCTTCACAGCACCATCTTGGGAGTCTTACCAGGCCAAGCCAAGCCAAGCCCCACAGGTGGTTGCTAAGACGATAATAGATGCTACCCCTTGCAGTCGATGGGAGAACCAGGTGGTGGGTGTACTTTCAGTGTTTCCCCTGTGACATAAGGACCAGGGGACTCTCCTGACCCGCTGCCACTCGGCTTTTCCTTTGTCTTCCCAAAGCAGCAGGTAGAGAGGCAGTTGGATGAACTCACCTGACACAGGTAGGGGGTGTGACCATAGGCCTGAGGGGCCACCTGCTTCCACCCCAACCCCAGCGGCTCAGCCTGGGCCTTAAGGGGGCAGGATCAGAAACAGAATATTTGGTAGAACATTTTTACTGTACACACACACACACACACACACACACACACACACACACACACATTTATGTCCTCAGTCACATTGTGCCTCAGGGCCCCACCGCAGGCCTCCAGCTCTCTTGTTAGTGAAGTGACAGGCTGTAGGTGAGCAGTCTTCTCTATTTGGGGCAAGCTTTGACAGTAGCTCAGCGCCCCTGTGGGTCAGTGTGAGGCCTTGGCCTTGGGGGCCGCAGCAGGGACAGGAACAGCGTCCCTGGAACAGCCTGCAGAGCTGTGTGGAGGTGGGATAAGTATGCAGAGTCCTCCACGCCCATGCTTCTCCCGGGCCCGAGGGAGGCCAGCCCAAATTCTGTTGAAAACACAGCTGAGGGCAGGGGCTGTGGACCCCCTCTCACAGCCTCCTGCTCTGCCCTCTAGAGTACGACATCGAGGCTGCCCAGGAGAAGGACCGCCAGGCCTTCAAACCCAGCAACATCCTGAAGACCCAGAAGACCCAACTGTGATGGCTACGCGGGGCTCTTTGAGAAAATGTGCAGGTACCAGAGAGGCCACCCCCACCCACCCCTCCCCCTTCCAAAGTGCTATGAGCCTTCGCCCACATGCCAGCCCTGAAACCTGAGTTTGCAAACTCTGCTCTGGAATCCAAGTGAGTCCTGAAAAGGTCAATTTCTCCCGTTTTAACACCAGCATAATTGACTTTTGTACCATCTGCCAGGCTTCGCGATGCATTAACATAATGGCAGATGAATGCACAGAAATAATTTGGTTATAAAAGGCCCTTTTTCCACCTTCTCCCATCTCTCTGCAGCTGAAGGTTAGAAGAATGGCAAGATTTGGGAAGGGAGGACAGTGGCTGCTGACGCCAAGGGGACTTGTGAGAGGCTTTGTCCCTTCCAAGTCTGGCACAGGGGGCC